ATATATACTTTTTCTGTCTTTTTGAGACAGGGCTACATGTAGCCCCAACTAGCCTGGACCTCACTATGTAGACTAGGCTGGCCTGGATCTCATAGAGATCCACCTGCCTCTGTCTCCTGAATGCTGGGATTAAAGGTGTGGGCCACCATACCTGGCATGTTTAATTAAAAAAAAATTATTTATTCTTTTTATTTTATGTGTATGCATGTATTGCCTGCATGTAGGTAAGTGCATCCGTGTTGTGCAGTGCCCGCAGAGGTCAGAAGAGACTGTCGGATTCCCTGGGACTGGAGTTACAGACAGTTGTTAGCTGCCATGTGGGTGCTGGGATTCATACCCAGGTCTTCTGCAGGAACAACCAGTGTTCTTAACCGCTGAGCCATCTCTCCAGCTGCGCCCCCATGTTTAATATTTTAAAAAATATTTTATTTTTTATTATGTGTCTGTGTCTGTGTCTTTGTCTGTTTGTGGGTGTATGCATGTGAGTGCTCACGCCCTCAGAGGCCAGAGGACTTGGATCTCCCTGGAGCTACAGTTACAGGCAGTTGTAAGCCGCCTGACATGTTGCTGGAAACTAAACTCAGGTCCTCTGCAAGAGCAGTCAGTGCTCTTAATCAGTGAGCCATCTCTCCAGCCCGTGTTTAGTATTTTTTTCTGACAAAGTACACCTGTAGTAGTCTGTAATAATTAACATCCCTCTGGATAAATTTTGCTTTAAGCTTATTTTGGGGTACTGGCTCAGGTAGTAAAGTGCTTACTGTGCAAGTGTAAGGACCTGAGTTTGATGCCCGTCACCTGAGTGAGGAGAGAGAGAGAGGGGAAAAAAAAAATGGGTGCAGCAGCACATGCCTGTAATCCCAGTGCCGGGGAGTGGAGACAGGGCTCCCTGGGGCTTGCTGGCCTGTCCAGTCTAGCCCAATCCAAGTTTAATGAGAGATTTTGTCTCAAAAAATAAGGTGGAGAGGGCTGCAGAGATGACTCAGCGGTTAAGAGCACTGGCTGATCTTGCAGGGGATGCAAATTCTGTTGCTGGTACCTACAAGGTAGCTAACAACAGGTTGTAACTCCAGTTCCAATAAAGAGGGACCCAACACCCTCTTCTGGCCTCTGTGGGCATTGCATGGCACAGGTGCACTTACATGCAGGCAAAACACTCATACAAATAAAAATAAGTAAATTAAAAAAATTTTGAAGGCGGAGAGTGATTAAGGAAGACCCTTAACACTGACTGGCCTCCACAGCCACACCTACAACCATACCCCCGCAACACACACCCTCCTCCCGTGTGCACGCACATGCGCACACACACGCACACACACACACACATTCATTTTGCCTGACTTGAAGGCGGAGAGTGATTAAGGAAGACCCTTAACACTGACTGGCCTCCACAGCCACACCTACACCCATACCCCCGCAACACACACCCTCCTCCCGTGTGCACGCACATGCGCACACACACGCACACACACACACACACATTCATTTTGCCTGACTTGTATGGATCTTAATTTGGTTTAATATATATTTGGTATATGTGGCTTGAAGGTGGTGCTTTGAGGAGCTGGGGTGGGGGGCACCAGCCCTACCTCCGAGGGAGCTCTCTGGGCTGCACCTGTTGGATTCCGAGTAGCACTGCAGATGAGTAGGAGTCCCCTTCCTGCCCATGAGTCCCCCTTGCTTTGCAGAGGAAGTGATGTGCAACAAAGAGCACGTCCAGGACAGGCTGGAGCTGAGCCTGAATCACAGCAGAGGGGATGGCGGCGAGTTCAAGCCAGGTGGGAATTTTTTCCTGTGCCCTGGTATGTGACCTGGTCAGCCCTCTGAGTGCTGTCCCAGGCCCTGGTTGGAGCCGGTGGATGGGAGGCTGGACTTGCAAGCTCCCCCCATCAGGGGTCAGGCTGATCCTTTCTCTCTCCCCCCCTTCCCGTTGCCCTAGGCAGAGAGGGGAGAGAGTTGGCAATAGGGTGTTTGTGGCCCAGTGTCGTGCACCTCCAGGCACTAGAATGTGCTACAATAGTCACCCTCTGGTCAGACCCCTCATGCAGCTCTGCCATCTTTGAACTTGAGCTCGACCTTCCTTCATAATGCTCTCTTGCCCTTGTGCTTAGGTTGTCCTGGTGTGGTGGGGGAGGGGTGCCAGGTCTGGAGCCAGCCTCCCTGCTCAGGATGGAGACCAGGCCTCTGGTCCATTCCTTAAAACCCCTGCGGTGCCCATGGAGGACAGGATGTGTCCTGCTTATGTTTAGGCTGCCCAGTGCTTGGCAGGAAGAGGCTGCCCTGGGCAGTGCCTTCTGGATGGAGAGTGAATGTGGCTTGTCCCCTTCCAGATGACCCCAAGGCCGAGGAGAAGGAGCCCATGGAGACACAGCAGAACGGTGACAGAGAAGAAGATGAGGAGGGGAAGAAGGAAGACAGGAACGGGAAATTCAAATTCATGTTCAACATTGCAGATGGCGGCTTCACAGGTACTGCGTGGAGCGGTGGACAGAGAACTGGGCTGTTGCTGTCCCAGACTTCCCGACTGTGGGTTCCAGAAGTCTGGGCAGATGGCAACTTTATACTGGTTGACAGTAGACCCTTGTATAACTCCTAACAACCCTGGAGCAATGCACCTGTGAGGCGGGGTGCTGAGCAAGCCTCAGCCTGTGGTAGGGAAGCCTTTCCTTTTGCTCACCTGGGCTGTCTTTCCAGAGCTGCACACACTATGGCAGAACGAGGAGCGGGCTGCTGTGTCCTCGGGAAAGATCTATGAAATCTGGCACCGTCGCCATGATTACTGGCTGTTGGCAGGGATTGTGACGTATCCTTGGTCATCCAGGCTGGGCCAACTACGGTCCTCAGGGGACGCATGGGCTCCAGGAAGGACCCACCCTTCCATCTTCTAGTTTAGCTTTTGGGGACAGCCCAAATCCTTGGTGTTCCTTGGTAGGCCCCTGTGCCATCCACCTTACCATGTCGTTACCTGGCCTTCTCCCTGGGTCTGTGCCCAAAATTCCCTCTTCTGACACTCATCTAGTTGATACCCTCTTGATCAGCTCTAGATAAGGCCACAGGGGTTGGGGCTTGCATGTGTCCATCTGGGAAGCTGGGGTGACACGATCCCTGGGACTTGCTGGGGTGCATATGGTCAGTAGGGTGTTCTCCCAGTTGCCCCCATCCTCCCACTGCCACACCCTCCTTTCCTGCAGCCAGTTTTGCCCTTAATGGTATCCACCCCCCCAGGCATGGCTATGCCCGATGGCAGGACATTCAGAACGACTCGAGGTACATGATTCTCAACGAGCCCTTCAAATCCGAGATCCACAAGGGCAACTACCTGGAGATGAAGAACAAGTTCTTGGCCCGCAGATTCAAGGTCAGTCTGAGGGCAGGACCAGAGGCTGGTGGGGCCTGGGAAAAGGATGTAAAAGTGCTCCCCTGCAAGTATCTAGACCTGCTCCAGGCCCTCACCCAAGGAGTCAGTCAACCCACCCAGACCAGACCTTGATGTGTGAGTGTCCCCTTCCCTCCAGGGGATGGGATTCCGAGAACCCAGCTTATTGAAGGTTCCAAGGATCAACCAATCAGGCGAGGAAGGGGGTGCTCCTCCCTCCTTTCTGTCCAGAGCCTTATCTGGGGTGGAAGCTGGTAGAGGGAAGGACACAGTGGCTGTCCAGAAAGAGGCCAGACCAGTGCTGTTGCCCACCCCACCACCCCCCAGCTGCTGGAGCAGGCGCTGGTGATCGAAGAGCAGCTCCGGAGGGCTGCGTACCTCAACATGACCCAGGACCCCAACCACCCAGCCATGGCTCTTAATGCCCGCCTGGCCGAGGTGGAGTGCCTTGCCGAGAGCCACCAGCACCTATCCAAGGAGTCCCTGGCCGGAAATAAGCCTGCCAATGCTGTCCTGCACAAGGGTGAGTGAAGCCTGCTCCCCTTCCCTAGTGGTGCAGCTCAAGGCTCTCATCCTGCCCAGGGAGCATGCTTGGCCAAGATTAGGGGTGCTGGTAGAACAGATACCCAGAGGATGAGCCTTGGGGGCTAAAGGGTACAGTCGTGTCTGTGTCCAGTCCTTCATTCCACTTGGGGGGAAAGCCAGGCTCCTTCCTTCTCTGGCTTTTCTATGAAAGCCCACAAGTAGGGCCTGGGCTGGGGTAGGCAGCACAGAGGTAACATGATGTTATAGAACCCGATGAGGGGCCCCTGATGTTTTCCTGCACTAGAGTGAGGACGTCCCATGCCTGCAGGAGTGAATCTTAGTGTCCCTATCTAGATGCAAAGACATCGGGGCTCAGGAAGGGGAACAGTTTGCCCAGGGTTACCTGGAATTCAGATCTTCTCTGCCTCTCTGTCCTGGGAGTGCCCGGGCCCACTGGGGAGTGGGGGACAGCCCAGAACAGAAAGGGATGTGGCCAGTGCCTTGCTCACACATGAAGGTCACTGTCCCCGCTGACAGCTCTGCTCTGTGGATCCCACTGTGACCCAGTGGCTAACGGGGCTGCAGGCTCCTGAGAGAAAGGAAGGAAGGAGTCAAGGGTCTGGAGCTCTTTTCTGCCAGAAGGAGCCCAAGAAGGGTCTTTTGGAGACCTCAGTTTCACCAGTTGGCAGTCCTCTGCTTCTGCCTAGGTCCACTTTTGGGTGCATGCTGTAACCCTTGTAAATAGCAGCAGCCCAGCCACCGCCTGCACGGCAGCGCTGGAGGGCAGGCCCTCAGTTCCTGTGCCTCCTCATCCTCCAGTCCTGAACCAGCTGGAGGAGCTGTTAAGTGATATGAAGGCGGATGTGACGCGCCTGCCCTCCATGTTGTCACGCATCCCCCCCGTGGCTGCCCGCCTGCAGATGTCTGAACGCAGCATCCTGAGTCGCCTGACCAACCGTGCTGGTGACCCCACCATCCAGCAGGTCAGGTTTGGCCTTCACACTGTGTCATGGGCCTGAGTCCCTGTGTTGCACAGGCGGGTGGCCATGTGTGGGGGCTGGGTGGGGTTCCGGATGCCACCTGTAAAGCCGGTCCTTGCCTCCAGGGTGCTTTCGGCTCCTCCCAGATGTACAACAACAGCTTTGGGCCCAACTTCCGGGGCCCTGGACCGGGAGGGATTGTCAACTACAACCAGATGCCCCTGGGGCCCTATGTGACTGGTAGGTCTCCGTCCGCTTCCGGGCAGCATGCACACAGGTGCCCTCTGGGGCCCAGCCTGCCCATTTCTCTGGATGCCCGGCAAGCCCGTGCTCTAATCTCTCCTTGGCAGATATCTAGCCGTCCTCGTGACTTCCCCCTGATGCAGAGCTCCTTTCCAGCTGAGGTGAGGCGACTGCTCACTACTCTACTGTCCTACGCCCCTCAGTTTGGCCTACATCTGGCCCATCCATGTGCTTGATTCATGATTCTAAGTCTTGGAGGCTTTGAGAGCCACACTCTGGCTGGACGTGATCATGGCCCTGTGTGCATGCATGTGAATGTGTATGTGGACACCTGTGTGCACCTACGTGCATGTGTGTTCTTGTCTATGTGTCAGGGAACACTGCCCCCAGCCTGGAACCCTGGTCTGTTTCCACTGCCTTGCATGGTGGTGGGCACCACAGGCCTCTTTGTCTTAGGGGAGGGCGTACCTGAGGGTTTGGGTATGTTAATGGCCTTGGGGTGGGGTGAATCCAGAGAAGGAACCAGTCCTGATCCCTGATCTTCTCTGAACTTACCAGCTTCCTTCTGTAAGCCCTGTGTGTCCCTGTGAGGGTCCCAGATGCTGGGAGGACTCCAGCACTTGGGGTGTGGTCAAGCCTGACTGGATGATGACCTGTGGTTAGGAGGTCTTGGTTCTGGGATTCTCTCTGATCATAGTTGTGACCACTGTAGATGATAGTTGGGTGCTTCCAGATGCTTGGCCACCCAACTATGTAACCCACTGATTTTGCCTTTTGCAGCCAGGCCTCCCGCCTAACCCCCATGGGAAAGAAAAGTGACCGCCTTTTTAGGAGTCTGTGCCACCTTGGGACAAAAAGGGAGGCCGGGGAACGCCATCACACGGAGGACCAGGCATGGCCTGGCAGGACAAATGCCCGGAAGTGCCACCTCCTCATAGTTCAAGTGTTCTTCCACACAGTGTCTCACCCACAGCCACGCTGGACACGCCCCTGGCCACCTCTTTTAGAGTGACTTACTTAGAGGAGACTTCATTTACCTGTACTTATTTTGCACTTTGCTACCGAAGATGCGAACGTATTTGTCTCGATAAATAGTTGGATGATGTGTGGAAGATTCAGACTTACAAAACTCCCATCTGTCTTTGGGTTCCAGACCTTAAGGGAAGCACTCTGGAGGTCCTGATGCTGCCCTGTGGACTCACTCCAGCTAGAGAGAGAGCAGCATCCCATGTCCTGTGAAGGAACCTTTAGTGTGTCCCTTGCTCCTGTGTGACTGCCCTTCTGTTCCAGCCTCATGCCTACTTGGAACCCCAGGGTTAGGTGGATCAGGTCTAGACAGTGGCTGCCTAGCCTGGTGATGCCCAGGTCAGGGTGTTTCTTACCCCCATCCTGCTAGGTTGGGGACCACCAGGTAGGTTCCATATTCTAGCAGGGCACGTGTCTGTCCTAGCCCAGCATGTCTCAAAGGCTCTGGACTCTGTTGTTTCCAGTGGACATGTGGTGGCCCCAGCAATACATGGTGGATTGAAGTGTGGGTGCCTTGGAGAGCGACGCAGGCCTTGACCTCTGCAGGGGTTTCTGGAGGTGTGCTGTCTACAGGACTGTGGTGTAGGCAGGTGGGAGATGGTGCCCCAGGAAGGAGGCTCATGTTTGTTGGGTGGCCCAGGAGACCCTGGCCTTGCCGTGTCCAGGGAGACTCAGCTCATGTTTCCCTGCGCACAGTCTCCTGGCCTCCTGCTGTCCTGCCCCAGCAGAGGCCTTGATTAGGGCACTTACTGCATGAAGCAGGGATCATAGGTGCCCATGCTGGTCATTGGAGGGTATGAGGAGAGCTGTGCTTGGAGGCAGGGGACTGGACTGAATGGCCTCTTTAGACCCTAGCTGGAGCCTCCAAGGCTTCTGGCCTTAATTACCTTCAAGGATGCCCTGGAGTGTCAGGACCATCTTCCCACATGGAACACCAACTTGTCCTACTCCACCGAAGCTTGTGGTACCACATAATGGTCAGCGCCGGGGTTGGGGTGGGTAGAACCTGCCAGGCTCCAGGCCTATCTGTCTGCCCCCTCTCTGGCCCTGGCTCAGTCTAGAGGACCCTCTTAGACTGGTGCCCTGTGGTTTCAGAATCCCCTGAGGATGAGGAAGGGGCTTCTGGGGAGAAGCCAGCTGGATCTGGGGTCAGGGATCCTGGAGAAGTTCAGACTCTCCTTCCTGGGAAAGGAGTGAGGGTCACACAGTGTCTCTGGGCCTTCCAGGAACGGGGCTAGGTCTCCATGGTTTGTCTTGAGAACACTTGGGTAGTTGCCTAGGCTTCCTGAGACTCCGATGTGCAGATCTGTAACTTAACTCCTCTGAACCCCTGGAGGGCTGGACCCCCATGGCTTCTCCTATCCTACACTTTGGTCTTCATCTAAATCTCCAGGGCTGACACAGCTCACCATGGGTGGGCAGAGAAGGGCTCCCTGCATGGCGAGGGGTGTGTGTGTGTGACTGACACAAGCTTGCTCCCCAACCCCAGGGCTTTTTGTGCTAATCCCATTAGGCAGATGATCAGCCTTGTGGCTGCCCTCATTGGGAATTGTGCCCACACCCTTTGCCATGAGGACATGTCCTGAGAATTGGGCCTGCTCTGTCCCTTCTCTGCTGCTTAGACTACCTGCCCCCCATGGCCCTCTCCTCTCCAGTCAGCCTGGCCTGAGCTCCTTCGGGCCTGCTTACCCGGGAAGGTACATGTTCCTCATGACCATCACCTGGGAGGTCCTGGAGCATGGACTGCTGAGGCAGGGCCAGGTTTCTGGCTGACCAGCTGTGGAGAGGAGAAAGGACCCTTCAGGTCTTGTCTTGACCCCTCAGCTGTCTCCTACCAGAGTGATGAGGCAGGGGTGGTGTCTTGAGGCTGATGCTGGTTCTGCTGCTGGTGGAACTGGGGTCCTTGTGCCCACATCATCGGAGCCACAGCTGTACTGTAACACATCCAGCTGCTCTGATTCACCCAGCTCCAAAGGGTTTCCATGGAACTACCTTTGGGCCGAAGGTGTGAGATGGCTCTTGGGTGACATGGGGAGTTTGGGGCAGATCCATGACATCTGAGGGCACGCCTCTCACATCTGCAGTGAAGTACTTCTTCCCCTGGCCCCTATGCCCCAGGGCTCGCTCTTCCACACTCTGGGTGGGTGCGCCCCAACCCAGATGTGGGTTGAGAGGTTCAGTGACACCTCCAGCAGACTTAGGCGTAGGGGCCAGGGATCTTTACAGTCCTGTAGAGTGGATAGGCAGTGGTTGCTTGCAGCCTCCGGTGTATGCTGGGGGGCGGGGTTCGGTGGGCTCAGGCTGACCCACCCTCCACCCAAGGCACTCCTGCCCAGAGCACAGCAGAGTGAGAGAAGCTGACCTGCCTGTTTCATATACCCGGAAGTTTACAGGTTGTGGTGCATCAGCCCAAAGTCGGTGTCCTTGTGTTTATGGATATTTTCCCTCTTAATTTTCAGATTTTTTTTTAAACAAAAGTATTTTTTTAGGTGCGATAACCCGGAAAGGGCCGTTGGGTGTGTGTGTATGTCCTGAACTCTCCACATAGCCACATAAGAGACCAGAGCCCAGTTCAGAGGCAACTCCTCAACTGGCCTGGAGGCGGAGGGGCCACCTACCACCGCCAAGCTAGACTCTTGCAGGGAGGCAGCTTGCCCAGGCCAGGCTTCCGGCCCTGTCCAGCCTCAGGCTGTGAACAGGACTGGGAGCTTGCAGCCAGTTGGGAGGATGAGAGCAGGGGTCCCAGGGGCAGTTCCACTTTGGACCTGAGCTCCCCTGCAGGTCGAGGCTGGATGGACTAGCCAACACAGTCACCTTTGATTTGTATTCTGTGTGTGTTTTGGTTTCTGTGTTTTAATAAATCCTTTGGGAAGGGATGTAGTCATCAGTGTGATTCTTGGTCTCAGTGATTTAGAATAGGGCTGGGGTGGTCAGCTAGAGAGCAGGGGGCATCTTTCAAAGCCTTCTAAGTTATGCTTCCTAGACAAGACTCAGGGTTTACAAGGAAGGAGGGGGAACCCCTCCCCAAAGCAGTGTGCTGGGGGGGCTGTGTCCCTCCTACCTGCAACCTCAGACCCAACCCATGTGCCTGCCCATACCCCTGCCAATGTGAGAACAGCAACCAGCTGCTTTCCAGTCCCCAGTGGCATAGAGCCTTCCGGCCATCAGCCCTGGGTCCTTGGAAGTGGTAGCAGAGATGTGTGTGTGTGGGGGGAGGTGCCCCCACCCCTCGTGGCCTCTGGGATGAATCACCTGGGAAAGACCAGAGTGGATCTTTCTGACCACCCCACCCCACGTCTTACCCTGGTCTCTGGCCTCTACACAGGCCCTTCCATCCTGCCCTTGACTGCAGGGTACAGGTTGGGAGGGACTCCAGACCTCAATTCCTGCAATTGGCAGCCTCGTCCTCCCTCTGGCGCTGCCCCTGGCCCAGCCTTAACCCTGGGGAAATGAGAGGACAGAAGCACGGAGACCGATGGGCTCTGGTTTTATTAGTCATTCCATAAATACGGGCTGTGCCTCGGTCTGAGTCTGTCAGGAAGCTCGAGGCGCTTGCGGTCAGCCTGGTGGGATGCAGTTAGCGAGGAGCCGCGCTCATTAGAAAAGGGGAGAGAGCACATTATGTACATGACTGAACAAGGGCAGGGCACGGGGGCCCTGCTGGGCCTCAAGACCTTGGGTCTGGGATGAGCAGTAGCAGGCGTCCACATGCCAGATCCCTCAAGCATCCTTCCTGTATCAAACCTCCTAGTGGGAGCCCTAGGCCGGACAAACTGTGCTTCAAGGAGGTGAGGAGGTGCTAGAGGCTGGTTTGGGCTGGCCAGCAGGCAATTGGGGCTCAAGGAAGGTGAAGGACCTACGGCCCAGGGAGGAAAGCAGCTGGCCTGATTCCTCACGAGCCAGGGGTGACTTCCCTCTTTCTTGTCTCTACTTGGTGGTCTTCCCTTCTGCAGTGGTCTCTGAAGCCCTCCTACTCCAAACCCTTCCATGGGGGGTGGGCCTTCCCCCATGAAGCAGAACCTCCACAGGCAGGTGTAGAAGGGACGGCGCCTCCAGACCCCAGCGTTAAGTGTTATCTGGGATGCTGCCTGTGTCCAGGGCTCATGTGAGCCTTAGCCTAGTTCATCCTGGGGCCTGCCTTCCTGTCTCTCTGTCTCTCTGTCTCTCTCTCACACACACACACACCCAGCAGGGCCTCAGCTTTCTTAGGTGTGTCTCACAGGCAGTAGCAGCTCCTACCTGGGGTCCTCCTGTATACCCTGGTCTACCTTCCAGGGAGCAGGACCAGGGCAGCTAGGTGACAGGCAGCTACCAGAGAGGTGGATAGGTGGCCTAACTCTTCAGTTCTGCTGGACCACCACAGGGCCCTGTCCTGTGAGCAGGCTCCTCTAGCTAGGCATGGACGGAGGTGCCAGGGTCCAGTGGCCTCCACTGGGAGGCATAGTGCCCCATCTCCACACCCACAGAACTGCTTTTCAGGGCCTGGAACAGTGGTGAAGGTTCTAGAGCCTAGGGTGGGTAGGAGGGTTGTGGGGGATGGAGGAAGCTGTCCGCCTTGCTCGCCTTCCTTCCTGTGATCCCCCCCCGTCCCTGTGGCTTCCCTTAGCTGGTTTTCCAGGTCCCCACCAGCTTTGACTGGACAGTGGATGCTGGAGAGGGGCAGGGAGGAGATTTCTTGACAGCAGTTGTAGAGGGCAAAGCAGGAACAGGTGTTATATCTCCGGGGGGCTGGCCACTGCTGGTCCAAGGCAGGAGGCCCACATCCCCTAGAACCAACTGGCATAGGTGGGTAGAGCCCTGTCCCCACATGGCCAGGAAAACCTCACAGGACTACGGGATTGGGCTTCCAGGCAGCGTGCTCTGCCCAAACCTGCAGGCTTTCTGTAACCACTGTCCCCCAGCTCCCTCTGGCACTGCCCGTCCTTCCGCCTGCCCCTCAGCTCATCCTAGGCCAGGGTGGAAATATGGCGAAGGGAATAACTAGTTCTCCAAGAGAGGGTCCCTGGGGTCCTGGCTTTCCTTACAATGTGGGGGTCTGTTAACTGGGGTTCTCTTCCCCTAGTCCCTGAGCCTACAGCATGGAAATCCTAGGGACCTTCCCTCACTGGAAGGATGGAAGTGTGTTCTCTGTGCAGAACCCACGCCCATACCCCAGCACAACAGAGGTGTTAGAGGAGGGTCTCTGAGGAGTACAGTCCTGTGCATATGGGTCCAGCCAATTGTCCCCTGCCTGTGGTGTGACCAGCAGCCACAGCTGTCTATAGCACTTGACTGCAGAGAAACCTGCTCCCATGGGCTCTCCCTAAGCCTCTTGGACTTTTCTGGTGTGGGGCTCAGCAATTGTGTGCAGGGTTGAAGCTGCTGAGACAACCCACTGGAAATCAGAGCCCTAACCTTTCTGGGGATTCCAAATCACAGTCGATCTGGGGCTCTCTGCTCCTGCCAGCAAGGGTTGAGGTGGGGATCAAGGGCAGCTAGGCAGCTGTGGCCCCAGCCAAGGCCCAGTAAGCATGTTGGGCAGGTGAAGGCCTAGAAGAGGAGGATCCCAGGCCAGCCTTGGACAAAGTACCTGAAATTCCTGGAAAGAGGGACGGTCCTGCCCTAACTGCCAGGACTCTCGCAGAAGAGGCACCAGGAAGTAACACCCCATTTGAGGGGGGTGGATTTTCGGCAGAGGGCCCAGCCCTGCCTGCCCCCAGGACCCGACCAGGTCCTGGCCCAGCCTTGACTTCTGGACTCTCCCTGAAGGGCTGAGGCTGGGGGCAAATGTTTCTTCTCAGAGGATGAGCAGAGGTGGAGGCTTGTGTGGGATCCTTTGAATGTCCTTCCTGATTGATGCCATTTCCTGGCACCAATCTGACAGTATCCAGCAAAGCAGCGGGTGGCATCTGGCGGTGACTTTGGATATCATTTCCCGGTAACTTCTGGACATAGTATTTTCCCCTTGGATGTGAACCACACTCTGCACTTGGCTTTGAAACAGCATAAGCGAGCAAACAGAGATGAGGAGGGGACCGGAAACTGTCCGAGCAGACGGCGGGGGCAACTTAGGATCTGTAGTCTTTTTTGCTGTAGGGTTTATTGCCCAGAATGCTATCGATCTCGTGGATGACGGAAGATGACAATTTTGGAAGAACCTGCGTGCAAGGATGAGAATCTAGCCTGACCTGTGGATGATTCTCCCCAGTGTTGTGTGTATGCCCCGGAGGGCCCCATCCCATCCTGGCTCTGTCTGAAGAGGGTCAGTGAAGGTCTGAGGCAGAGGAGGCATGCCTAGGTCTGTGCTCTGCCTCTAGACTCAGGGTGCTCTCGGCCTTCTGGAAGGTGGTGGAGTGGTAGAGGAGGGGGTCCAAATGCTGTCCATGCCCCTAACTGTTCTTCCTGCCTAGCCTTCCAGGTGACAAAAACCTGGGGTGATCTTGACTCTGCTCTCTTACCCCGTACCATTTATCAACCAAGTCCCAGGCCTTTCCCTCCCCACCCATGTGGGATCCAGCCATGGCGCCCATCACCAAGTCACAGGGGACTGTGTGCCTCCCACCAGGTCTCTGGGCTGTTACCTTGGTCTCGATCAGCTAGAGGGCAGCTTTCTAAAAGCTCAGTGGGGCCATGCCCTGCTTTGCGTCAAACCTCTGGGACTCATCTTACCCCAGTTCCTGCAGACATGCAACGCCAGGGCCTGCCCCTCGGCTCCTGCCCCTCTGACCTTCTGTTGCTTGGAGGGTTGTTTGTTGAGCAGCTACACCGCCTTCGAGTACCCCTTTGGGTTTGCTCTGAAGTCCTTATAAGCCCCGCCTGGGTCTATGGTGCCCCTTCTTTGCTCCCAGCTCTGTGGCCTCACTCTGGCCTCTCTTCCCATGGTCATTTTTCTATGTGCATTCTTTATATTTTTATTTTACTTTGTAAGTGTTGTGCAGTGCCCATGGAGGTCAGAAGAAGGCATTGAATTCCCTGGAACTGTTACAGACGGTTGTTAGCCGCCATGTGGGTGCTGGGATTCCAACTTGGGTCCTCTGCAAGACCAGTCAGTGGTCTTAACCACTCAGCTGTCTCTCCAGCCCCATACCCATTCTTGTATATGTTTGCGGCTCTACAGGAGCAGGGCTCTCTTCTGTCCCCCACATCCCATGCACTCGGAAGGGTGCTCCGTCAGTCCAGGGTGCTGGGAAGGCTGCAGGTACATGAGCCCGCCAGCAGGGTCCCAGCGCTCACCTGTATTGCTCCGATATTCTCCATAAGCTGCTCTGCGTTGGAAGCACCCAGGAGCACGGAGCTGACGCCCTCATTCCTCAGGCACCAGGCTGAGGGCAACAAGACCCACAGTGAGGGAGGTGCCCTCAGCAGGGCTTATCTGGCCCTGCCTGGGTAGAGGTACTCAGACTCTTTGGGGTCTGAGGGTGCTTACATTGCTCAGTAGTGCTGGGTGAGGCTTTGCCTAATGGGCAGCTGGAAGGGGTGCTGAGGAGCCCTGGCTTTTGGTGGAAAGATGGCTCAAGTCCTCAAAGGTCCTTTCTCTTCCCCAGAGCCCCTTGCCAGATGAAGGAGGGGGTGGGCCAGGCTCTCAAGGCTCCTTGCTGTCTCCCCTGAGCCATGGCTAACCCTGCACACCCCTGAGGGTTCTTACCTACCACCAGCAAGGGGGGGTGTGATGGGATCTCCCACTTTTCTCCCCTGGGCCACTCTCCTCATTGTGGCTGGGGGAGGATGCAGCCCAAGCCCTTAGGGACCCCAGGAACAGTGTCCCACCCGTGCCCAGAGTCTGTGTTACCTATGGCCAGCTGGGGGAGGGTGCAGCCCAGGCGCTCGGCGATGGCCTGTAGTTCCTTCAGCTTGGCTTGCTGGCGCCGACCTTCCTCGCTCAGGATCTTGTCCTTCAGCCACTGGTAGCCCTGGGAAGAGGCAACAGTTCCAGATGAGGGGAGGGCCCAGGACTGCTGGGGTAGGTGACTGATGATTTGTGTTCTCCTCAGAGCCTTCTCCCCAGACGGCAGCTCTCCTCTCCCCCAGCTCAGGACAGACAAGACAGATAGGGGGATGGGGCCCATTCACATTCTAAGGACATGGTTTGCAGTGGGCTGACCCCTACCCTGGGCCAGAGGCACAGGCTACCACCTTTGGCTTTGAGGACCCCCTAGGACTCAGTCCAGGGGGTCCTGTCCCTGACATAAGCTGGGGAGGGAGTGAGGTCCAGTGCTGGGGCTCCAGGGCTCTTGTCCCCGAAATGTGAACCCAGTGTGGAATAACACTTGACTTAGGGGTCAACTCTGAGACCTGAGCTCTGCCTGAGCTCTCTGTGATGATGGAGTGGGGAGGCCTGGGGGAGGGAAGCATCCCAAAAGGCTTAAGTAGACCCAGCTCGTATTGTGAATGTTGAACCATGGAAGAGGTCAAGATGGGGGTGAGGGGCCTGTCTCTTGGGGTGGGTGGCCCCTCTGGACTTGGATTCAGGCCAGAACAACTTCCATCTGTGTTTCGGGATGGAACATCATGGGCCCAGTTCTTGGAGGGCAGCAGGTGGGACTGCAGAGCTATGCTGCCCGGCACCTGTGCAGGATGTCTCTCCGAACCCTGGTCATGCTCACCTTCAGGGAGGCTCTGGAGTAGGGCGGGATGCCACTGTCATACTTTCCCGAGACGATGCCACAGGCCAGAGGGGACCAGGTCATGGCACCCACTCCTGAGAGAATACCAGGTGAGGTTAGGATGGGGCCCTGAGGGTGGGGTGGCATGGGGTCAGTGGGGGTGAGGGTGGCACCCACCTATCTTGTGGAACAGTTCAGGTAGTTGCACCTCTACTTTCTCCCGCTGGAACATGTGATACTCAGCCTGCTCACAGATGGGCGGGATCAGGTTGAACTGCCGAGCCACAGAATAGGCCTCCTGCGATACAAAAGGGGCCCAGGAAACCAGTGCATCAGCGGTTCAGGGGACCACAGGGAGAGGATGCAGGGGCATCCCAGGCCTTGCTGCTCTCTCCACCCCTAGCTCTTCTGGGAGTTTGAGGCAGGCCTGGGTGAGCTGGGAAAAAAGGGTGGGCTTTGGAACCTCAAGTATGAAAGGTCTTTGGAGGAAGCACAATGTGATAGTCAGACTGTGCTTTGGTACTCCCCTTGGGCTGGGGGCAAATGGGCTCATTGGTGCCTCAGTTTCCCCATCTGTCACATGGTCCCAATGAGCCAAGGGTGCCTATAGCCCTTGCAATAGGGCCTGGCTCGTGGCTGGCACTCAGTCTGCCACCTGAGCAGCATGGCCAGTTTGCTTTCCCTCCACTCTCACAGATGGAGTACACCTAAGCTGCTGTCTGCATACAGACCCATGGTAGGGAGAGGGAGGCCATGCCTGCCACTCAAGGAGGCTCGGTGCCCCTCTGGTCTGAGATTCGGCTTCCTCATCTGTAAAGTGGGGTGATGACAGGGACGATTTGCCTGAGCCCTGTGCTGGCTGTGGACAGTCAGGAAGATGCCTGACAAAGGCCCGTGCGAATGCTTCTGAAGTCCCAGGGATCTGAAGCAGAACTCCCTCCACTTGCCCCAGTGATGCAGGAAATACCGACACTAGGTACAGGCAGGGCTAAGGCTGGGTGTAGAGGCGGGGAGGCGAGTCAGCCTCAGGGAAGAACAGCCCCCATGCTTCCAGCCACACTCAGCAGCAAAGGAGGCAGCCTCTCCCTCTCTGGACCCCTCCCCTCTGTACCACTAAGGGTGGGGGCACCCTGCTGACCTGACCCTTCCCTAGTAAAACGCAGAAATACTGAGGACATCAGGTGTTGTAGCTGCTGATGGCTCCCATGGAAGGGAGGGACAATTACTGGGGTGCTTTCCTGAAAATGTGGGTGAGGGGGAAATAGGAGGGATTAAGAGATAGAAATTCAGGGTTTTAATAGTTGGGTTCCCCCGCCCCCAATAGTATCTTCCTGTAGCCACAACTGGCCTGGAACTTGCTATGTAGACCAGACTGGCCTCGATCTCACAAACATCCACCTGCCTTTGCCTCCCAGGCACCAGTATTGCAGGCAGGCACCACCACGCCTGCATGAGTTGGGTCATTTTCAAAGGCAGCCTAGGCTCTGACCTTCCGCTGGTCTGGTCACCAGTCTTGACCTGAGCTGTATGCCCTTGAGCATGGTGCTTAAAACAGGAAGGCAGCAGCCCTGACTTCCTGTGGCACTGTCAGGGTTAGTATGTGCCAGTCGCCAGGAGCCCTTAAGTCTAACAGCATTCAGAACATCCCAAAAGCCAGGCGCAAGTGTTGGAGCTAAGGGCTTGGAGCTTTCTATGGGTTCTCTCAGAGAAACTCAGAACAGACACAGTAGGGTGGGCTATGCTAGTAAACTTGTTCTGTAGGAGGAGAAACAGGCTCGGAGGGCAAGTCATCTGTCCAAGGCCACGTACTGCCATGATTCAAGCTGAGACCCACTTCAGCAGACATGACCACCACACCCCCACTGTGTTGTCCCTTTTCTTGGCACAGGTGCTGAGCCTCAGGGTCCCCTCCCACAAGAAGCCTACACCTCTGGACACACACAGGTGTCATCCTACCATGATCTCCATGGAGCTCCAGCGTGACGTTCCCCAGTACATGGCCATCCCCTGGTTGATGACATGGGTCATGGCCCGCACGGTCTCTGTGAGAGAGAAGGGGAGAATATAGACAGGGGCATCTGGGGCTCAGGCCCGGGATGGTCCGCAGAGGCAGGTGGGGCGCCAGGAGGAGGGAGCGGGCTGCAAAGACATCTTGCAAGCAGTGTACTTCCTGGTTCCTGGAGTTGAGGGTGGTAGGTTTCAGGGTGGGGAGATTCCAGAAAGAAAACAGGGAACTGCAGTTTAAGAAGCTGGTCTTAAAGACAAGTTCTCTAACTAGGTACCAGACTTGCAGGGGTCTCTGAGAGATGGCTGTGGGCTCCATGTCTCCACAGCTGGCTAAAGGGATGAGGAAAGGTGACCCAAAGAGTGGGCCCTAGACTGAAATGTGGAAGAGACCCTCCTGGTCACTCAGAAGGATCAGATGAAGGAAACCAGACTGGCCGAGGCAGTAACAAAAAAGGAGGTAAACGCAGTTCTGTCCACTTCTGGTCTCCCACTGAGAGCCATTTCATATTCTCATTGGAGTCCTGAGGTCTCCATGGAGAGGGAAGGGTGGTGCCTTAAGGGTGGGGCTCAGGGAGAGACCCTCCTGCTCTAGTGCCTAGGGAGCCAGACGCAGAGGTAGAAAGGCTTGGGTGGACCATACCTTAGACTTTCAAATCAATTCCACCCCAGGTTGGAGTCTTCCTCAACACAGGTTGTTCCCAGGGCAATGAGGGGTTTAAGTGTCCCTCCTGTGAGGCACCAAGATCTGGAGCAGAGGAAATTTCATAAAAGCCAAGACTTACAACATCCTAAGGAGTGACTGGCTAAAACTCCTTGTCATCCTCTGGGGCAAGAGTGGGGGGGTCCCCCGACTCCAAGAGCACAACAGAGTCTTCCTAGTATTCAAAAAGTTTCGGGCACATAAAAATCTGCCAGTTGAAAGGAGAAGGAAACTAGCTGGTGGAGGGTGTGACCGTCAGGAATGGGGAGGGAACGAGAGGGTGATGGGGTGGGTATGATCAGAATCCATTATATACAAGTATGTACATGTCCACACCTTAGCCCATCATTTTGAATAGCTAATATGTGCTAATTGAAAACCCTGCTAGTTGTAGGTTCCTTTCCTTGGTCACTTCAGCCTCATAGGGATGTAGTAGCTCTTTGTCTTTCTGAGACAGGGTCCCCCTGTAGCCCCAGCTGGCCTGGAACTCACTATGTAGACCAGGCTGGCCTTGAACTCACAGAGATCTGCCTGCCTCTGCCTCCCGAATGCTGGGATTAAACGTGTGTGCCACCAGGCCTGACTGATGTAATGGTTCTTAAAACAGACTTGGCCTTAGATTTTCAAAGTGTGAAGTCCTTTGACTTGGGAGGATGAGGGATGGTTCTATGGGTTTCTCGCAGGCCCGATACACTGCTTGCAAGGTCGACAGCCAAAGGCAGGGTAGGAATGTGGAGGAGCAAGTGTTTCTAAGAACATAGCAATAACATCCACCTCCCCTCGAGTGTCCCCCTCCCCCGGAGGCCAGCTCCACTGGTCACTAAGTAGGGAGGCCAAGGTCCCTGGCAATGGCGGGGGCTATGAGAGAGGGGAAGGAAGAAAGAACCCGTTCTGACAGCTCTGCCTCGGGATGCCCCTGGGTCTGCAGGCCCCTGCCCTTGCATGGGGTCCAGTGCTGGCTCCTGTCCACCCTGTTTACTTGGGGGGGGTCTTAGTTTTTACTCATCTTGGGTCCCTAAGCACCCCTTTGGCCAAGGTCTACTCTGGATGGAACCCAGGGCATCCTCATGTCTAGCACCAAAATAGCTGGGGCTTCTAGGTATGGTGGTCCCAAGCAGATTCACTCAGGACCCCTGGGAAGTTACACCCTGCTTCACCCCTGCCCTCTCAACTCTGCTCTCTCCTTTCTTCTGAGGTCATGGACCATGGCTACTGCAATTCTCTGTCCCTGCCTGGGTAAGGAATGTATGGGAGGGGAGTGTGGCCCCTGGTACTCTTCCTGGGTCACTTGCTTTAACTGCCAACCTGTTCGATATCGGGGAAGGGGTCAGTGCCTGATTAGAAAGATTCCAAAGGACTAGAGGGTCCTGGGGCCTTCTTAACAGAGCCGGGCTCCTGACTCGCCAGCCCTTGTACGATTTTTAGAAACACTCTTGGGGCACCTGAGGCCGTGCAGCATGGCTCCTCTAGTCTTTTCAGCCAAGGCTTAGATCCACATGCCAGAGAGAGGGAAGTCAGAGGATGTTCCACGCCAGCCCCACTTCCTGGCCTCCTCCCCCAGAGCTCTTTTGTGTTGTGGTCCTGAGGATCCCAACTATGGAAACCACATGACACCTTTCCCATGCAGTGGGGGAGATGGAGTTGACCTAGCACACCGGGGTGGAGCTGATGAGATAGGAGCCTGGTGTGACTGGCTGTCCCTGAGGAGCAGGGAACCTGGGCACAGGCCCCTGGGTACCCTGGGGGAAATCTGGGCAGAGGCAGGCTAGATGTGGGACACACATGCAGGAGCACAGGTACACTGTGTACCTGCACCAGGATGATGTTCCCGGCCCCAGAAACAGTGACCATTAGGGACAACTGTTGTTCACATTAATATTTCATGCTGCTGGACAGAGACAGGGCTGCCAAGTCCTTCTAGCTGCTGCCAGAACCCAGGGTATCTCTGCAGCATCACAAATAATACATGGGAGGGGTCAGGTGGCAGTGCCGGGTGGCAGGCTGGAGCCTTTCTAGTGTGAAAAGTGCACAGTTCCCAGGGATCCCAGAGCCTAGACGGGAGGGCAGAGACCAGGCGTGACCAGGCGTGGCCAGGTGCCTCCCTGGGCCTCAGCATCATGTCAGCTCATGGAAGTATTTTCAGGAAGGAGAATCACTCTGTTTTGATGGCGACAGAGTGAGTATGCAGGGGACATGAGTGACCACACGCAGCCAGCTTGCCCTCGAGCCAGCATGGTGGACAAGGCAGCTTGTGGGCTGGTGTTCTTTGCCTCTGTTGGAGGCAGAGCTCAGCAGGTGTGAGTTGTGGAGCTGAGTCTTCTTAGGCACTGCACAGTCTGAGGTCCCTGACTTCACTCCCCGTGGAAGCTCAGTCTTCCCCAGCCTCTCCCATCATACCATCCAAAGTCAAGTTCCCAGGCAGGGACTGCAGCACCCTTAAATGAAGAGGAGGCCTCGGCAGAGAGGCAGCGGGCCACTGCAGATCACAGCATTGCAAGCACAGAGTCATGCACGCCAGGAGGAAGGGATGGAGTTAGAGCACGGACGGACGGGGTGGGTGGGAGGGGCTCCAAGCCCACTTCGCTTTCCTTTCACTCTCGGGATGTCCTCACGGGGCGCTCCCTCCCGCCCCCTTATGCATTTTATGGAGAAGTTTGTCATGGGGGACAGAGAGTTGTGTAAATAAAAACACTGTCTCATAAAATGCAGCTTGGACACAGAAGTCAATAGTCGGCTGAGGGTACTGTGTACCTTCAATGACGAATGTCCTTGACTTGGAGGAACTAAATGGGTCCCCTGGTGATAAAAGAAAGATTTAAAGAGACCAGAGTTTATCACTGTGGGAACACGGAGGCGTGGTATGATAAAGGGCAGGGCAGGGGAGCACAAATCACTTCACAGAACACGTGTTCTGTTAAAAAGAAAGAATATATACACACACACACACACGTGCGTGGCATATATATAAAAGTGCACGATGAAAAAATAACTCCAGTATAACTTAACCTCCCAAGTCTCCGAAGCAGCAAAGCATAAATGAAAAGATGCCGTGGCAGGAAGTGGGAGAGAGGGAGGGCCGAGAGTCGAGGGAATAAATAAACTCCAAAGAAAGCAAAACAGCTCTCCAAAGCACTGAACACTTCTTCTCCTCTAGGTAATAATTTATCCCCCAGAACAAAAGACCCCTAAGCCCTCCCAGGGGAACCATTTTGAAAGAGTTCAGTGGTCCCCGTCAGTCACTAAGCAGACGTTCCACTCAGCTACAAAAATCCCAACCTCTGGGGGAACTGCTGCCGGAGAAGTTCTGAACACAGGCAGGTGTAGGTTACAGAATGAATCGGCCGGGTGAAGAATTGTGGGGCCAGAGCCCATCCCTTCCCCACCCTGGGGCCTGACCACCTCAGCCCCGGGTGGTCCATGTGGATGTGCTGATGCCCATAAGGGTCTCAGATCAGATCCTTGGTCACCTGGCTCTGTCCCGCAGGACTGACTGGCTGGAGCTCCCAGGAAGTACCTACCTTCCATGGGTGTGTTAGGGTCCGGGCGGTTAGCAAATACCACATCCACGTACTCCAGCTGTAGCCGCTCCAGGGAAGACTTCAGTCCTGGAGGAAGAACAGGGGTCACCACTGCCAGCACTTTCAGACCCTCCCTGTTCCTGGCTCAGGGGACAAGAGATGGACAGGGCCCTGTTATATGAAGCTTCAGGACAGGTGGGGCCACATCCCAAAAGGAGTGGGCATCTCGGCCTGTTGGGAGAATCACAGGCCAAATGTCCTGGGACCAGACGGACACATGGTCTTCAGACCACTTCCAGGACTCTGGGGGTCTGTGTTGTGACAGGCAGAGTGGTCATGTCAAAGGAGGGACAGTATCTGTCAGCTACTGTTCAAAAGGCTGGTGGTGTCTGACTTGCACAAGTTGCACGAGTCACCAACCAGCTCCAGATAGCACAGAGCCAACAGCTAAGGGAAGACACTGGGTCTGAGGTGAGGGCCAGGCACAAAGCCCTGTCCCCCCAGTTATGATGTTCAACAGGAAGAATGTTACTTCGCCTGGAAAGGCACACAGACAACACAGGCACAGGCTGAGCCCACACCCAGTGGCCCTGGCTCTGTGTGCACCTGAGGGCCACTATTTCCAATAGCCCCAAGGGGCTCTCACTGCTTTGCTTTCTAGGGATGGGGAAGCAATGGCTCCCATCCAAGACCATTCAGCCGGTGTGAGCCCGAACTGAAACTTGGGCTATCTGCATCCAGCCTCAGTGCAGCCCTTGGTCAATGGAGTGTCCCCCAAACCTATGAGTTTCTGGAGCAGAAGTAGAGTCAGAGTAGGCCTCTATGTGCCTCAGGGCCTGTGATGAATCGGAGGAGAGGGGCAGGGATACTGTGCTGCTCGGTTTTCCTTCACTGGGTACGTGGTCAGGGCCACGTGGTCACAGCCTGTCCTTACCTTCTATAATGTGCTTCCGGGAAAGGCCTCTCTCCGTCTCTGCTCTGAAAAACAGGCCAACAGGGTAGAAAATGTTGGGGGTATTTGGGAACAATGCTTATGATGTTAGGGAAAACAGAGGTAGGTCAGCAAATGTGGTGTGCTGTTGGAGTCCACTCTGGGGTGACAGCTGGAGGCTAGGGGATGGGTGGTTAAAGCAAAGGTGGGAGCCCCCAAACTGTTGGGGTGGCTTGGGAGTGGGCTGGGTGGGGAACAGGGTTTTCATTTTTACCCTGATGCTCGGCTTGGATTTATTCATTTGTTTGTTTGCTTATTTATTTTTATTTTTTTGTCTTTTTGAGACAGGGTCTCCCTGTAGCCCCAGCTGGCCTGGAACTCGCTATGTAGACCAGGCTGGCCTCGAACGCACAAAGATCCACCTACCTCTGTCTCCCGAGTGTACGAGTGTATAGTCTGCATGTGTGTAAGTGCACCTGTGTCGTGCAATGCCCATGGGGATCAGAAAGGGGCATTGGATCCCCTGGAACTGGAATTACAGATGGTTGTCAGCTGCCATGTAGGTGCTGAGAATTGAACCTGGGTCCTCTGCAAGAGCAGCCAGTGCTCTTATCTGCTGACCCATGTCTCCAGCTCCTGCTTTCTATAATTTTATAAAGTTACCATGTAAATAAAAGTAAAAATGAATAAATGTTTGAGAAACAGACAAATTCAGCTAAAGCTGCCTATCTGGAAACACTAGCCTTTCAGGTGTTTGTGCGGAGGCCAGCACACCCTCCCTCTTCAAAGAAAACAGTCTGACTCCCACCCCAGCTTCCCAAGTGGGGTGTCTACAGGACTTGGGGCCACTGTGGCCAGCCCCAGCTGGAAGCACTGCATCAAAGGGTACTTACTTTCCACCCCAGAAGATCTTGGTGGTAATGACGAGGCTGGACCGTCTGTGAAGCAGAAGAAAGGAGGGGTGTTACTGGATGTGGTTGGCCCCTGGGGTCCCACCTCAGTTTTCACATAGGGAGCTGCTAAAGCGCTCCTACCTGGGAGCTCAGTGTGAAATGGGTAACCCTCCCCTGTTCAGCGCCTGCCAGGTACCAAGCCTGGGGTCTGGGGTTTCGCCCTGAGCTAGCAGATACAACCAACCAATCACCCCCAACACTGTAGGTTGGGTATTAGGGGTTGGACAGCAGGAGACCTGGTGTGACCAGAGCTCAGAGAGGAAGTCAGCTCTCCCCTTCCCCTTCCTGCTGCTGGAGAGAACAGGCTGTGTGGCTTTGGTCAGGTGAGCCGGTGAACAAGAGCAAAGGTCTCTAGAAAGGAGCAACAGTGGCTTCCCTGTCCCTGTGTGTTCTTCAGACCATGAGGGGAGGCCAAGGGAGGAGGTCTTCAAGCTGGACTCACACGGCCTGCTCTGCTGCCAGGAGCACTGGGAAGTGCCAGCTCGTTGTGGGCACTGCCAGCTTAGGCTAGAGGGAGAGCCTCCCAGCATGGGCCTCCATGTGCACACTGGAATTACTATAGAAAGAATCTGAGATTGATCAGAGTCAAGAGGGAACCACCTGATGGGCTGGGTGTCAAGAGGGTGTCAGGAACCCCTGTGAAGTGAGGTCTGGCACTGAGAGTCTACGTGGGAGTTGGGAAGGTGGGAGGGAGTGCAGGCCTAACTTCATGACTGCTTAGCTAGGGCTTGGGGAGGCCCAGGTATAAACCAGAGCTCAGCCCGGACTGACAGAGGGTGGGGATCTCTGCCCAAGAAGGTGCTTTGGGCTCCTAATCTGCTGCTCTTGTGCTCCATCTCCTCTTAAGCCCTTAGGGACACGCTGCTGCTGGGTGCGGGGCTGAAGCCTCCCGCTCCCTAGGTCCAGCCCTGTCCAGCCAAGCTGGGTCAGTGATTTACAGAGTCTAGACAGCCTGCCTCCTGCTCAGACACTGGTTCCTTTATGGATGGGGTCAGAGAGCTCTAGAACTGTTGAACTGCCGCTCACTAAAGTCCTTGAGCTGGGCAGAGAGGATGGGGCCCAGCTGAGAGGCAAAGGCTGTACACCCTGACCTCTGTGCAGTGCCCCTTTATCCTGTGTAGGCTGTCCGGGAACTCTCAGTTGCAGCAGCTTTTGGCTCGACTGTGTGTTGAGGAACCCCACCCCTTGAATCCCTGTGGTGGAGTAAGACAAAGGTGGGGCAGGGTTAGACTAATCACAAGGGGCTCAGAGAAATGACCTGGTGAGCCCTTGCACCCAGACCTTGCCTTCTTACATATGTGAATGCATGATTCCGCTGGAGGGGCGGGAGCTACCTTTGCTCTGGTAAACTCCCCCCTTCCAGTAGGAAAAAACCGGGACTTGAGGCTTTAGCAAGGTTGCACAGGAGGCTGCAGCGGTGTGTACGACAGGTTACATGTGGCTGAGGAGGACGTTGAATGTCTGCTCCTCCTGTTACTACCTCCTGAGTGTTGTTGGGATTACAGGTGTGTGCCACCATGCCTGATTTATGTGGTGCTGGGAATCGAATCCAGGGCCTTTTGAATGTTAGGCAGGCACTCTACCAAAGTTCCCAGCCCTCTCAGGAAGTACTTTTGTTACTGCCTAGCCCACTGTCTCTTGCAATGTACTGAATTAACTTTTCTTTATATTTACAAAAAGAAAAAGGGGCTGGTAAGACGGCTCAATGGTTAGGGTTCGTGCTGTGAGGCTTGATGCCCTGAGTTTGCGTCCTGGGACCCACAGGGTGGGAGAGGAGAACCAACTTGCACAGGCTGTCCTTTGACCCCCACATGAATGCTGTGGTATGTGCCCCACCCACCCCTACAGATAATAAATGTAATAACAATAAAAAGGTTGCACAAAAGATTGATGGGCCACTCCTGCAGTAATCAGGAAAGAATAACCCCAAACTTTCACGGCTCCCACCACAGTGCCATCCAAGTCCAGGCTTTCCCTAGGCAGGAGGCCTGCCCTCCCCAGCCAGGAGCCCCAGCATGCATTTGCCTCTCCCACCCCCACCCAGCCTTCCTTATGTGCCCTGGGGACAGACCACAGAGAGCCGGGTAATTACCTCCATCCCTTCTTCTTAATGATGTTTCCTAATACCACTTCAGCCCTGCAAAGCAAGAGAAAGACATAGGGGTTTCATCATCCTGTAATGGACAAAAAAATCAAACACAGCCCCACCGTGGAGATGAGCCGTCGGTCCCCTCCATCAGAACACCACTGGGGCTTGAGAGCCAGGCTCTCAATGTGTCCTTGGCTCGGCAGCTTATTCTGGAAGGGGTAAGCTCTGCAACTGTCCTGGGCTGGGGAGCTGGGGCCTCTGTTCCTCCCCTACTAAGTGGCCTGTCCCACCAGCAGAGGCCACCGTACTGGTGGAGAAAGAAAGGGTCCCAGTATCCTGCTTCTCTGGCCAGCTGCAAAGGGAACACGCCTGGCCACACTGCATGGGTGAAATGTGCAGATGGCTGTATTTTTAAAAGGCAGGCTGCCCTCCAGGTGCATTCTCTGTGTGCAGACACAACACACTTTTGGGGCCAGCAAAGCGGGTGCGTGTCTGTCTGCTGTGTGCGTGCATGTGCACACGTGTGCCTGTATGTTTGAATGCATCCCTTGTTTCTCTCTGAATAACATTGAGATGCCACGCAGCCCACTGCCTGTTCTGCTTGGCATCACTCCGGGTTCTGCACTGAACGGGGGCCAGCTGGGGTCACGAGCGGGCTGTTCCAGCCTCCATCCGCACAGCAGTGCTGGATTAACTTTTAAGAACTTTCTGCTTGTAGCAAAATGTTTCTGAGCAAAAACAACAGACGGAGAATGATCCATACCCCATGCTACATTCCAATTATAAAAGCGCCTGAGTCATCCACTCAGAAATAATGGGCTCTAATTTGCAAGCTGTTTAGCATACATTCTCAATGCTTCTCATTTACCGTCAGGACGCACTGAAAATTCAGTCAGCCCTGGCCTCCTCCTTCCATCCCTTGGTCTCCAGTTTGTCAGACAAAGGGCCAGGAAAGGAGGAAGATGGTGGTGGGGATGCAACAAGCCTCTTGTTTGCCATCCTGGCTGTAAGCTGTGCCGGGGGACACAGAAATACTGTAGGTCGCTGTGAAGTGCCCAAATTACCCTCAACCAGAGATATGTGTGTGGTCATCCTGGCCAGCCAGGGGGCAGCTCTGGCTGACTGCTTGCTGGAGCTGTTGCTAGCCCCTCATCCAGAGCAGCTCTGCCTGTCCCCGAGGCACAGAGCTCAGCTCCTCAGCCACTTTGGCTGCTGGTGCGAAGATGCCTCTGAAGGGTGAGCAGGCCAGCTGAGCTGCGGGCTGAGGAGCAGAGGGCGGGGCTCCAGCAGCAAAGGCAGAACAGAAGCTTCTGCCTGAGGCCTTAGCTTTTAGCAAGAGGCGCCGAGGGGCCCCGAGGCTGCCCAGGGTCCTGTGCCCTTGCCTGGGCGTGCCAGCCCTGAATGTCCAGTTTGTGACAACAGAGTTGGCGGCTGAGAAATGGAAAGCGCAGAGCCCTTGCACAGCCATCTGGAACTGGAGGAGGCTGTGTGGAGCTGTGTGTACTCTCCTGGGCAGCAAAATCCAGGCAGGAGCTGGGCCAGGGAAGAGGCTCAGGCTGGAAGATGCCTCAGGGTTGGGCATCTGCACAGGGCTCTTTGACCTCCTGCTGTTCAGTTTAGCTCATCTGTCTAGAAAGCATTTTGCTTTGATGGGAGGCTGCTGCCTACGTGGAGAAGCGGGGGAGGGGCTGTGGCATAGGAGGAGGTGGGTGCTGCTAGTGGGGGTTAGAGATGAGGGTCAAGCTGTTGGCTCCTCAGATCCTTGGTACGGACTTGAGCAGTCGTCCAGCTAATGCTGTGGGTCCTGCTGCAAGGCGCAGGTAACACCCCAGGCCCACAAAACAGGTGCTGGCCCCATAGCCATCATACATAGCAGGCCAGGGCTGCAGCAAGCCCAGCTGATGAGACACTTGCTTGGCCCCAGGCAGGAGTGGACCGAGGGGAGGATGAGAAAGAAGCCAGCGAATGGTTTCACCAACAAAAGCTGACTTTTGGAAACGCGGAGCAGGAGAGTGGATGATTTGATTATTTGATTACAGCCAGTCTTTAAAATCGAAGCCAGCAACTCTAGCTGAAGAGGACTGTTTGCATAATTGAGCAGGAAAGTTCACTGCCAAGATGGAGAGTGCTTCCTTCGGCACCCAGGACCAGCGCCTGCTCTCTCCAGTTCCTAGAGGCTGCCCTCCCTACAGCCTTGATTATATCATTAAAACATGAGACACATGAGGCAGGTGCAGGTCACCGGCATGTCAAGCAAGACCGCGCAGGAAAAGTAGCTTAATCTCTGCACTGGCCCAGTGCTGTGTGTTTGGCACCAGATGAACTGTTCACTTGGTACCTGTGCACGTGGGGATTTTAGCAAACAGCCAGTGCCCAAGCATTCTGAGATTCTGAGCCCCCCCAAAAATATCTCCTAAAGCCATTTAGAGTTTAAAGAAGGCAGAGTGGAAGGCATCATTTGAGTGCTTGGGGTGAGACGGGAACCAGAGCTCAGGGTCTCCGAAGGTGTCCTGTATCTCTTCTCCCACGAAAACACGTACTTGCCAGCAGCGTAAACTTCTGCGGTGTCGAAGAGATTGATACCATTGTCGTAGGCGAGGGTCATTAGGTGCTCTGCCATCTGAAATGAGAAAACGGGAGCCACTTATGGCCAGCACTGTTCAGCCAGCCCCGGGAAGGCTCCTGAGCTCCTTGTGGCTCGGGCTGCCATTCTACTGACTCCTCCGCCCTCTCTGCCACAGGGAGAATGAGGGAAGCAGTCCACTGACCATGGACTTCTGTGGTCATCAAAGAATGTGGCCCCTGCACTGGGCCCAAAACTGTCCCTCCAAAATCAGGCACTCAGAACCTCAGAACGGGCCTTATTTGGAAATAAGGTATTTGTTCACAGTCTTGAGCCAAAAGCTGCTGCAAGTGAGCGTTCCTGGGCAGCTTACACACGACAGAGGGGCACTGAGTGCCACATCTTCCTAATTTCAGCTTAGAGTGTTGGGCCTCCCTCCCTAGTCAGTCTGGTGTGACTGGATGATTCCTGAAACTCTCAACCACTGAAGGCATGTGTGTGTGTGTGTGTGTGTGTGTGTGTGTGTGTGCGCGCGTGCACACACTGGTTGGGGCCCTCGGGGGGCACTGCTGGAGAGAAGAAGGATCTTTCAGGGGGTTGGCCCATGCCCAGTGGTGTCTTTGGGAAGGTGGTCTTCTGCTACCAGACCACCTGATTTGCCAAGGGATGCCAGAAATCTGACATATTCCGGGTGTACTAAAATCTGGTTTTCAAATACTGCAGACTCTTTATAGCCCGAGGCCAAGCCACGGCTGCTGGACTTTGAGCGAGAAGACCCTGGGTGCTGCCGTCACTGGAGCTCTAGGGGTCCCTCCTTAGGGAGGTTTGCTGTCTTGCACCAGATGAACTGCTGCAGCTCAACTGTGTGGGCATGCCCGATGCACGGGTGCTGTTGTTTCCCTGGGTACCTGCAGCGCCCCCTGAGCCTTCTCCCAGAGACACCCACCCGAGGAACCGCCACATGCGTCGGACATTCCTTTCCTGTGGTGCCAAGGTGTGGGCACACGTGGTTTGTTCACTGGCGCACCTTCCTTTTACCATGACTGTTCTCAGATGTGTCCCACCAGCCAGCCTGAGCCACACCCAGGGGGACGCTACGTGCTGCTCCCCATGAGTCTTCTGCTGTTAGGAGATATGAGGTCTCCTGGGAGAGCTTCTGAGAGACGAGGGCTTACGACTGGCTTTTTTGTCTTTTGAGGACTTTTTTTGGTATCTCGGATATGTGTGAATTTATATATATATATATAGATATATATTGTTTGTCTTTATGATTTCATTGGCATCTGTTGTGATGTCTTTTTCATCTCTAATTTTATTAACTTGGGTTTGTCAATCTTGTTTATTTCTTCGAAGAACCAACTATTCTGTTCATTGATTCTTTGTATCTTAAAATCTCTTTTATTTATTATTTTTATTTTATGTGTATGAGTGTATGTGAGTGCACCCGTGTCGTGCAATGCCTTGGAGGTCAGAAGAGGGCTTTGGATTCCCCTGGAACTAGAGTTAAGGATGGTTCTTAGCTGCCATGTGGGTGCTGGGAATCCAACTCAGGTCCTCTGCAAGAGCAGTCAGTGCTCTTAAGCACTAAGCCGTCTCTCCAGCCCGTTAATTTATATATTTAAATTTTTTTAATTTATCACTTTTATTTTATGGGTATGAGTACATTACCTACATGTGTGTGTTACTGCACCTGTGTTGTGCAATGACTGCAGAGGTCAGAAGAAAATACTGGATCCCCTGGAACTGGAGTTACAGACGGTTGTTGCCGCCATGTGGGTGCTGGGAATCAAACTTATGTCCTCTGCAAGAGCAGCCTGTACTCTTAACTGCTGAGCTGCCTCTCCAGCCCTGTGAATTTATATCTGTTCTGTCCTTCTGCAGAGACTGCACTCTGCTTCTGTGGTTTATGACACATCCTGGAGACAGCTTGCAGCCATCCACCAGATCTTCAGCCCTTCGTCCCTTTTCCTTAAGTTAGAAAGTGCCCTCACTGGGGCTGGGCTACAGCTCAGTTGCTAGAGCACCTGCCTAGTATGTGTGAAGCCTTGGGTTTGACTCCAGCACCACAAGAAATGAGGTGTGGTGGAGCACACCCCAGCACTGGGGGGTGGGGGTGGGAGGGTATAGTCAAGGTCGTCCTTGGCTACATAGTAAGTTCAAGGACAAGCTGGGATAAACGAGATTCTGCATCAAAAAAATTGTATTTACTAAAATCTATATAGAAAAACTTATATTAACCTTAAAAAAATTTTTGAGAGGGTATCTGTGCTAATTTTTGTCAACTTGATACAAACTAGAGTCACCCAGAAGAGAGAACATTAACTGAGGAGTATCCTCCATCAGACTGGCCCATGGCCCTGTTTGTAGGGCACTTTCTTGGTTGCTGATTGGTAGGAATGCCAGCCCACTGTGGGCAGTGTCTTTCCTAGGCAGGTGGGCGGGCTATATAAGAAAGTTAGCTGAGCAGGCCAGTGGGCACCATCCTCCACGGTCTCCTCAGCTCCGGTCTCCAGGCTCCCGCCTTGAGTTTCTGCCCTGGCCTCCCTCAATGATGGACTGTCGCTTGTAAACCAAACAAACCATTTCCTCTCCAAGTTGTTTTTGGTCAATGTTTTATCACAGCAACAGAATGCAAACTTGAACAGTCTCACTATGCAGTCCAGGCTGTCCTCGACCCTGAGACCCTCTTGCTTCAGCCTCCTGAGCGTTGGGACTGCAGGTGGTGGTAGCCATCTTTAAACAGACAGAAGCATCAGGCCACTGCTGTGCAGCCACAACTTTCTCGTCTAAAGTCTGCACATGAGAGCTCCACATATGCTGGCCAGGTGCTGTGATGTCACAGCATGGGGCCAGCAAACCTTTTCTGTAATGGGCCAGAGAGGGAAAGATTCAAATGTTGGGGGCCAGAGGATCTCAGCTAAGAACTCCACTTTGTCCTGGTAGCAAAAGCCGCCACAGCCAATTCATAGACAGGAAGTAGATTCAGGGTTAGGGGGGCTGGGGGCGTTATTGATTAACGGTGTGGGGTTTCTGTATGGAGATAGTGGTGATGTCTGCACTATAATATTAAAATGCCAATGTTACTGAACTATACACTTAAAATTATAAAATGGTCATTTTTATGTGTACGTGTATGTGGGGAGGGTGTGCATGCACCTGTGTGGGGGGTGTGTGTGCATGTACCCGTGTGTGTGTGGGGGGAGGGTGTGCATGCACCCATGTGTGTAGGGGGAGGGTGTGTGCACCCATGTGTGAGTGTGGGGGGTGGGTGTGCATGCACCCATGTGTGTAGGGGGAGGGTGTGTGCACCCATGTGTGAGTGTGGGGGGTGGGTGTGCATGCACCCATGTGTGTAGGGGGAGGGTGTGTGCACCCATGTGTGAGTGTGGGGGGTGGGTGTGCATGCACCCATGTGTGTAGGGGGAGGGTGTGTGCACCCATGTGTGAGGCCAGCGATCAACCTCAAGTGTCATCCCTTAAGGTGCTGTCCAGTTTTTTGTTTTGCTTTTTAAAAATATTTTATTATTTTTATTTATTTTATGTGTGTGAGTGTATTGCCTGCATGTATGTAAGTGCACCCACATTGTGCAATGTCTGAGAAGGTCAGAAAAGGGCGCCAGATTCCCTGGAACTGGAGTTACAGATGGTTGTTAGCCACTATGTGGGTGCTGGGAACCGAACCCCTGTCCTTTGCAAGAGCAGCCAGTGCTCTTAACCATCTCTCCAGCCCCTTATTTTGTTTTGAGACAGAGTCTCTCACTTTTCCTGGAACTTGCAGATTCTGCTAGGCTGGCCAGTGAGCCTCAGATCTTTCTGTCTCCCTCTCCCTAGTGCTGGGATTACAAATGGCCCAGCAAACTCCAGCTTTTTAAAAAAATCTTGAGTTCTGGCAACACTTTACTGACTGAGCCCCAGACCTAACACAGTAAATTTTATGTTCCCTATATTTAACCAAAATCCTTAAAAAATGCACTTTGCAATAGTCTCTGCTCCTGGCTTGCTCTTACCAAAAAGGCCAAGAATAAATACTCTGCCCTCTTCATACAGATGCAGTCGGGGGTCCCTAGCAGTTGACATATTGATTTTTTTTTATATGAACTGTGGGATTTAATACAGAAGTTCTTCTGGTTCCTTCACTCAGTTGGTTTTGCCCAACTCTGTCAACTTTTATTCCTCCGTCCCTCCCAGCTTGGTGTCATCGAGAGATGACCTCCAACATCTTTATCCCTGTCACCTTGTCCCTGATGGAGACGTGGTGGGGCCAGAGCCAGCCAGGACTGCCATCTGAGACCATTCATCAATACTCTTCAGGGCCACTGTGGAGAATCACCTGTCCACAAGGACGTCACACCCTGGAGGTAGTGTGTCTGGGAATGATTCACTCCCTCGACAGAATTCTTCCGTCTGCTGTGTTAGCGGTCATGCTGACAAGGCTGAGTCAGGCCTGACTTATTTGGGACAAACCACACGGTCCCATGAATCCAATTTCTACTGTTGGCTCCAGGGAGCAGAGCTTCACCTTAGAAACTCCTGAGTGTACCCTGAGATAGCCCGTACCCAGCAACCTCAGAGCACTTGGCAAATGTTACTGTCATAAAAATAAAGATGAACAAAACCACACATTGCATTTAAATTTTGATGGAAGCCAAGTTTTCCCTTTTCTTTTAAAACTGAGCCGTCACAGCTAACAAGGTTTCAAATGGACTCACATTAATTTTTAAATGCAATCCTTCTTGCAGTTAATAGGGCAAATGCAACGCCTGAGTCTGGTTTGGATGCCCGGGGCTCTCTGGACAAATGTCACTGCCCTACTTGCAGCAACCCCCCTTGTCCAGGGGTCTGCCCCTCTCCCGAGGACCCTGAGACACCTGCAGCATTTGAATCAGCTCTTCCCTAGTATCACCTTGTGTTCCATTGGCTTAGGCGAGTCCCGACAGAGAGCAGTTAACTGTTATGGGGGCTCTGCAGCCAGGGACGTGGTGAAATGTCTACATACTCAGGCTCTTCAGTTTACAGCAAAATTGCAGAAGTAAACTTCGAAGGATTACATCAGACATGCACAGAAGGTTCACCATTCACAGCACACTCAGAGGACAGCTGGGATCCGTATCTGGCTTTGTCACTTGGAAAACATGGACCTCTTGAATATTTTGTTTTTGAGACAGGGTCTCCCTGTAGCCCCAGCTGGCCTGGAAGTTACTATGTAGACTAGGCTGGCTTCAATCTCACAGAGATCTGCCTGCCTCTGCCTCTGGAGTGCTGTGATTAAAGGTGCATATCTCCACATCCTGCTCTTGAATTCTTTGGGTTAACTGTGACAGATATGTCATGTACTCAAGGTCCCTGGGTTCCTGGGAGCTGAGGGACTTGCTGAGGGACCCAGGGGACCAGCCACTATGTAGTGTGACCAGATCTAGCATCTTTCTTTGCCATCATCTTTGGCTTGCCTCTCCTTTAGGGTAGGGCACCCTTGACACACAGAAAGGAAGTTGCTACTGTAGTTCCCACAAGCACACAATCCTGGTTTATGTGGGGGATTTAACCATGTTCCTTGGGCATGGTGGGGGCTGAGGGAGTCCTTACCTCGTCGGTGATCTGGCCTCCGAAGGTCACCCATGTTCCTGGAAGAAGACACATAGGCTCAAGTTAGACAATCCAGTAGTGGGCTAGAACTATCCTATGGATGTTCAGACCTCAGAGTGCAGGATCTGTGATGGGGGGTGGGGGGCAGCAGCCACAGGCCACCTGCTACTCTGTGCCAAGCAGGTCCTCTGTGTGTGGACACCTGGCCTTCAGGGTGATCCTCCAAACAGAGGCAGAAAGCTGGCTGAAAGGCTGGGAGGGCTGGGGTCTTTGAAATGTGCACCCAGAGCTGGGAGTGGAGGCTCCCCTGTGATCCCAGCACTTGGGAGGATGAGGTAGGAGAGATGCCACAAGTTTGAAGCCAGGGTGGGTAACACGTGTGACCTATGGGGCCAGTGCTGATGTGGTGCTGTTCCAGAAACACAGTCACCCCAGGGAGTAGAATGAAGATACCTCCCTGATGACAGGCTCTTGCTGGGAAAGGGCTGTGTGTGGGGTGTCAGGGCAGGAGGGGCATAGTGTATGTACCCTCAAGGTGGAGGACAATGGATTCTGAGGACAGAGCTCTTATCTGGTGAGAGGAACAAGGGCAAAACCCGATGGTCTTTCCTGGGGGATCATCTCTCTGTAGCCAGGCCCACAAAATGGAGAGACAGCTTCTGGTCCAGTCAGAGACAAGAGCTTCTCTGACTTCTGGTGTGTATGCAAGGCACCCCCCCTCATCCCCATCCCCTGTTCCCCTGGCCTCCTCTACCAGGTCCTTCTCCTGCCTGCCTATTGGTTGCCATGGCAACTTAGCCTCCCAGAATGCTGGGCTCTGGGTGTAGCTTCCCAGTAAGGGTGGGGCTGGCTTCCATGCTTCCTTGGTGATAAGGGGTCCCCATACTCACCGAGCCCCAGGCAGGAGACCCGTAGGCCAGATTTGCCCAGGTTCCTGAAAAAGAAACACTGAATGAGTCCTCGGCCCAGGCAGAATGCCATCAATCGGGCGTGGCTATCAATGCCGGCCCGCTGCCCACTTCCACCTAGTCGAAAATGTGTTCTAAGGTTCTGAAAAGGGGAGGAGACATCTCTGCTCACTGCCTTGGGAGTGACAGGCAGCTGCTCCCTGGGCTCACACTGGGTGCTGTGCTGGAGGCCAGCAGACGGCTGTTGAGCCATCTTGAATGCTGGGTTGATGTACAGGCTGCTGTGACCAACTCGGGAGGGTGGTGTGGCCATAGGGTCCCCATGCTGAGTTCTCTCTCTTCTTCATAGGCTACACTTGTGACTTTGTGAGTCCTCTCTTGAGGATGGGGTAAGAGGTCAGTCCTGCTTCACCTGGGTCACATGGCGGGGCTTTCGCCCTCTGTACCTTCAAAGCTGGAGGTTTGTGCAGTGCTGCAGAGCCTTTGCCCAGTTCCCTTATGGGCCCATGGAGGCACCTACCTGGTAAGGCACACCCCAGGGCACCCAGACAGGTTTAGGTTTACTTCTACCCAGTCAAATTGTGGATCATTAATATCCTAGGAGGCCATGAGGGTGACAGCCTTCTGCCAGAGGCTGGCCCACCTGTCTCTCTTGGCCACAGGCCAGCTAGGAGTCCATGGGGCAGCAGTAGGCCAATGGTCCTCAAGCATTCTGTCACTGGGTCCTCCTGTCAGCTGCATGGCAGGTCCCTTGTTTGTGGAGACCCCAGTACCCAAAACACTCTGAGATCATACCTGGAAGTGGGGAGTAGGGAGGGGGTTCCCCTTGGCAGCTACCTCTGAGCTCAGGCTACCCAGTGTGGCGCTCCATGTCCACTCCTACACTATCTGTGGGAAACAGAGGCATGACATGTTCAGATGGTAAAGCTGACTGGTGGCAGGAGTGGCTTAGCTCTGCCCAGGCCCTGGCCCATGGGGCTGCACTCCACCTCCACCTCCCTTGTGGGCTTCCGATGCCAGTGTCAGGTCAAGGGCCAGCTGCTCCAGGCACAGTTGGGCACATCCAGCGAGGACGCTGGCTTGTCTGAGGATGGATGAGATGAGGCACAGGCCTGGGGCATGCACAAGACATTGACTCATGGATCTCGTTTCCCAAAGGAGCAGGTGCCCAAGACAGTGTATGATATATGAGAGGCTTTTTCTTTGTACAAAACTGTCCTAGTTTGGTTTCTGTTGCTGTGATAAAACACTGACCAAAACTAACTTGGGGAGGAGAGTTGTGTTTTTTTTTTTTAAGACAAGGTCTCCGGCTGGAGAGATGGTTCAGAGGCTAAGAGCACTGGCTGTTCTCACAGAAGACCCAGGTTTGAATTCTAGCACCCACATGGTGGCTAGCCACCATGTAACTCCAGTACCAGGGGATCTGACATCCTCTTTGACCTCCTTGGGCATTGCACCACAAGGGTGCACTTATATACACACAGGCATAATGCTCATACACAAAATAAATAAAAAGTTTTTTTGTTTTTTTTTTTTGTCTTTTTGAGACAGGGTCTCCCTGTAGCCCCAGCTGTCCTGGAACTCATTATGGCGATCAGGCTGGCCTTGAACTTACAGAGATCCGCCTGCCTCTGCCTCCTGAGTGCTGGGATTAAAGGCAAGCACCACCATACCCGGCAAAAGTTTTTTATTTTTTTAAAACAAAACAAAACAAAACCAAGGTCTCATTACATGGCCGTGGCTGGCCTGGAATTCACTATGTAGACCACATTAGTCTTAAACTCAGAGATCCACCTGCCTTTGCCTCCCAGTGCTAGGATTAAAGGTGTGCGTCACCATGCTCTTTGAAAGAGTTTACTTGGCTTATAAGTCACAGCCCATCTTTGTTGGGAGCCAATACAGGAACTCAAGGCAAGCGCCTGGAGGCAGGAACTGAAGCAGAGACCGTGGAGGAACGCTGCTCACTGGCTTGCTCCCCCACTGGCTTGCTCCCCTGGCTTGCTCAGCTACCTTTTATACAGCTCAGACCCACCTGCCTAGGGATGGCACTGCCCACAGTGGGTTGGGCTAGCCCACATCAATTAACAATTAAGAAAACACCTCACAGACACATCCACAGGCCAGTCTGATGGCAGTAATTTCTCAGTTGAGATTCTCTCTTCCCAGGTGACACTAGTTTGTGTCAGGCTGACAAAACCAACCAGCACAAAAGCCAACAGTGGACGCATCAAATAGGCTTTTAATAAGCTGGGCATGGTTGTGTATCCCCGTGGTCCCAGCACTTGGAAGTCCGAAACAGGAGGCACGCTGAGAGTCTGAGGCCAGCCTGGGCTGCACAGCAAGACCCTGTCTCAGAAAATCAAACAACAATCAACCAACTGACATTCATTCATACTTCTGTATAAAAACGGAAATGAAGTTTCTGGACTTCTACCCTTTAGAAATCAATGAATTCTTCAAATAGTGCCCTGGCATTGTACATATCAGTCAACCCATAGACACTGGCATCTGGAGTTAGTCTGAAGGGCAGGGCTACCTACATCAGGTATGGATTCTACAGGGGCCAAGTCTGGAGCAGTTCCTGAACTCATGCTGGACTGCTGGACAGAAAGTAGCTGCACAGGACACAACAAAGTTGCTCAGAAGGGTGCGGCGATCAAGAAGACTGAAGGTTTGGCCACTGCGGGGGCTGGTCACAGACCCCTTTGAAAAGAGGTTAGTCTATGACTCCTTCCCTAGAAATACAGTCACAAATACCCTTAAGGCTCTGTTTGTAACACTTGGGGGTTTGTAGAGCTCTGCACTCCCTGGGCACCTGGTCTGGGTAAATCCAGGTACTCAGAAGGCAGTCTAGACCCCCTACCCCTACAAAACCACTGCAGAAGGGACACAGGCAGCAATTCCTGTCCAGTCAAAGTAGAGATAGAGTTTAGTTATGCTGTCCCGAAAACCTCCCTTTTATTAGCGTAATGATGAGGCTGACAGTCACACTTAGGTCCTTATGTGTTGGAACACACTGCATGTCCTGGAGATGGAGCAGCTTTAGCGGCATATGGCTGAAGATGCGGAACCAAGGCTGAGCCCACCAGTACCTGCAGCCGAAGAGCGGGCACCTGTCCCCTGCCAGTCTGGGGTGGGCCATTGGGACGCTGATCCTGTTTTTAAGTCTCATGATGGAAACAACACACTTTGCATAAAGGCAGCAAGCTTCTGTTGAGCCTGGGTGGGGACCAGGGCTTGTGGCTCTGTGGTGGCCTCTGGACCCGTTGCCCAGAGGAATGCTTTAACAAAACTGGGGTGCTGCATGATGCTGTGATTACCCGGATCAGCCCGTTTTCCCTGTTAAGATGCTGGTTATTTGTTCTGCCATCTGCTGCCAGGCCTCTGGAGAGGGACTGAGAAGGGACAGGGCACCTCGGGGCTGAAAGCGAGTGGGGGTGGGGATCCCTACACTTAGAGCCCTGCTTAGATGGGAGCTGTCACCATGTTGTTGTCCCAAACTTCAGAACATGAAAATAACTTACAGATATCCTTTCCTTTTGTGTGATTATAAAACAATTAAAGTCTCTAAGGCCAAGCACTGCTGGTCTTTTGGTCACTGGCCTGGCATCTCTCTTGGGGTCTGGAGAGAAGGTTAATGAGTACTTTCCCACATCATCTTGGACAGAGGCAAGAACTGCTGCTTGACCAGGCGCCTCACGCCCCTAAATGCCATACCTCATTCAGCTTCCAGAAGGATCAGAGGAAACTGAGTTCAAGGTTTTTCTTTTAAGCCATCTGAGAGAAGGACAAAAAAATGGATTGAGGAGAGAGGGGACAGGTGCTTGGCAGTCGTTTCACCCAGCAGCCATGTGTGGTGTGCTGGGGGGTATCGGCTGTTTGCAGGTCTGCTCTGCTCCCAGACTCTGGGATCCCCAAGGATGGGCCTGTGCCTCCTTGTTTATCTTTTTGTCTTTTTGAGACGGGGAGCTCCTGTAGCCCCAGCTGGCCTGGAACTCGCTATGTAGACTAGGCTGACCTTGAACTCAAAGAGATCTGTCTGCCTCTGCCTCCTGAGTGCTGGGATCACAGGTGTGCGCCACCATGCCTGGCGTCGCACCTTGTTTTTATCTTCTGATGAGAACAGGGCCCAGGGGAGTGTTGGGTACAGGACAATGTTGTTGGTGCCATTTGGGGGTGAGGAGAACAGGTCAGACCCTGAGGAAAGCATGCTGCCTGCTCCCCTCCCCCCTGACTGAAGAACTTTTAGACCCTCTGACAAGAGCTGGGCCCCTGGTGCTGGGCATCTCTGACTTTCTTCACTCCTCTAGCCTATGATACTTTACTGGACAAGGGTAGCTGTGGGGAAGGGCTAGCTGGTGGGTACTGGGATCAGGACCATCCTTGGTCCCTACAGCCCCACCTTCATGCTGGCTGTGGACCACAGTCACTGGATGGCCACTTGTGGTACTGATGCCCATGAAGGCTTTGGTCTGGATCCCCACTTCCCATTCAACTGGTAGGAAATGACACATCATCTGAGAGGGGTATGACCCACTTCTCTCCAGTGATAACAAGAACAGGTCTCCAGGTCCTGACACAGGGAAGGCTCAGCTCTTCCGTTGGACCCCACAGGTAGGAAGGGCTGGTGATGGAATTCGAACTCAAGTCCCCAGACTGAAAGCCCTTCACTGCTGGGTCTTACCCTCCCTGCTTCCAGTGTGTGCATGTATACAGATACACACAGAAGAACACACATGGCTACATGCACACAGACACATGCATACAGACACAGATATACATAGACACTCATGGATACATGCACACAGACACACACATCGACAAACATGCACACAGAGAGATAAAGACACACATGCACACAGACACTCATGGGTACATGCACACAGACATATATAGACGCACATAGACACACATGCACATAAACACATGAGTATAAATATAGGCACATATACATACACATGAAGACACATGGTAAGCATGTACATGGACACTCAAGGATACATGCACATAGACATTCATGGACATA